GCCCTTCTTACATGACATGGGACACAGGGGGTGACACTCCTACGCTCGATTATCAGAACAGCAACCTAAAATATAACCTTGGGTAAAATGGAAGAACACACAAATGGTTATTCACTAAACTCCGAATTGTAGTGGAATGAAAGCCAGATTGTAAAATTCAGGCTAGAGTAGCCGAGCTGTGACTATTTCAGTTAGATAATCTTTTCCAAATCAACTCATTTTGTCTGAATCTTGCCTTTCAGATTTCGATTTACCACAATGTGCAGGTTAGTGAATACACCCCATGTTTTTTCTTTATAGAATATTTTCTGTTTTGTCAAATGAATTTATAGTATAGAGGACAAAATTAAAGGGGCACTCCAGACACCATGACCACTGCATCGCAGTGTAGTGGTTATGGTCCCAGGTGTCCACAAACTGTCTAACCATTTCAGACACTTGTGACAAATACCAGCTCAATAAAACCAATCACAAACTATATGTGAAAATAGATACACAATCACTATACACCCCAAAAATTCCCCCTCAACCAAAACACATCGAAATCTAAAAAAAGATATATCATACATATAAGGTGCGCCGTGACTTTAAACTGCAATATTCAGTGTTTAACGGCCCAAAATCAACGTTTAAAATAAAGTGATTTTCAATGTATAAATACGGACTGTGCACTGTGGCTTTAAGACACACTGTAAGCGTTTACAGCTACACAAGCAGACACTTGTAGAAACACCAAAGAAAAGAAAAGTTTACCTGCGCTCTCTCCTTAATCCCTATGTATAATTAAACAAATGGAGGTCATTTAGTTGCTCCAATGGCCATTGGAGGGAATGCCCACCTGCCAACGTCAAGGCAGACCCCCTAAGCGGGTCCTAACACTGACCCTTCAGCCTGCTTCCTTGAGCTTCTGGCAAAGATATCTCTAATGAGACAGAGAGGGGTATTTTTTATATACACCCCTATGTACTTATTAAGCCTTAATTGTTTCCTATTAAGGGTTAATAAGTAAAAAAAAATACCCCCTCTGTCTCATTAGAGATATCTTTGCCAGAAGCTCAAGGAAGCAAGCTGAAGGGTCAGTGATAGGACCCGCTTGGGGGGGTCTGCCTTGACGTTGGCAGGCGGGCATAACCTCCAATGACAATTGGAGCAACTAAATGGAGCTTCACGTGAGAGACCAGCGCTGCAAGGGGAAAAAATCTGCGTCAGCTCACCCTTTTACCCCTGGCAGCACTAGTCCGGTCACCTAAACGCTGACTATGGAACTATAGCGCTAGCAATACACATTTGTATACCCAACACTATAGTGTTCCTCTAAGGTCAAACTAGCCAAATTGGAAAAGTGATCTAAGTCAGCTATGTTCTCCAGTTTAGCTACTCTAGCCTGAAATTTATAATTCACCGTGCATTCCTGAAAATTGTCACTTTAGTAAATAGCCCTGTAGATACTAGTGTTTATGGAAGCAAGCTGCAGTATCTCTCTTTTATTTATCTCGGGTCAATAGAAGTGACAGGGACCTTTAATAAGAGCTAGACCCCAGGATGTGTTTGGAAACTGTCAAACTGGATGGACCTTTCCTGGTCGTTTGAAGGAGGTCGTCTACACAAACTTCCCTAATTTCTATTAAGAAATATAATAAATAGCAGAGGTATCATAAAATTTCCAAACAGATCCAAAAACGCAGGCAACCATAACCACTGCACAAACCATAGCAGAAACCATAGCAGTGAAAACAAAGCGAATGACAGACAGTTACGCTGATAGAACACGATGCACTGATGCTAGATTTTGTAACACAGAAAGAACAAAAACAATTTGTTGTGGATGTCACAGCTTGATGTTCTTCCATCGACCGGCGGAAACGACCCTCGCTAACAGCCGGTTAGAATCAAGTTAAATGGTCAGACATTTCTCACTTTGTTATTTAATGTTGTACTAATTTATATATATATATTTTTCTATTAATTCAGTGTTTTTATTATTCATTTTAGCTACAGTTGCTATAGAGACCTACATGTCCGTACTATACCGTCTCAAGCAGTACGTGGTGTGAATTGAATATAACAGCTTTTTGGGGGCAGGAGGTTACATGACGACCTTCTCTGTAAAGCATGCTAGGTATCCGGCTGCAGAAACAAATGGTGTTAAGGCTCTTTCATTATCTCGGAGGAATGCCGCTCAATGTTGGTCACTTTGGCAACTTAATATGTATTATCACTGAACAGCTGATAGCACAATTCCCAGCAATGTCAAACATGCAGCAACCGCTGGAGTGATGGAGGCCGAGGATTGAATGCAGCCCATACCTAGAGATCAATATGGCTGAATCGACATATCATTCTGTATTTAATATACACCCGTAAAGCAATGCGGAGCCGTATTCCGTACATCGGGTAAATTAGATCACTGTATCAGAGTCGCTGTTATGGAGGACAGGTAAGGATCCTGCCTGAAGCCCCACTCATTGGATGGTGGCCAATACCTAGAGATTAATATGGCTGAATCGACATATCATTCTGTATTTAATATACACCCGTAAAGCAATGCATAGCCGTATTCCGTACATCGGGTAAATTAGATCACTGTATCAGAGCCGCAGTTACGGAGGACAGGTAAGGATCCTGCCCGAAGTCCCACTCCATTGGATGGTGGCCCATACCTAGAGATCAATATGGCTGAGTCGACATATCATTCTGTATTTAATATACACCGTAAAGCAATGCGGAGCCGTATTCCGTACATCGGGTAAATTAGATCACTGTATCAGAGCAGCTGTTATGGAGGACAGGTAAGGATCCTGCCTGAAGCCCCACTCCATTGGATGGTGGCCCATTCCTAGAGATCAATATGGCTGAGTCGACATATCATTCTGTATTTAATATACACCCGTAAAGCAATGCATAGCCGTATTCCGTACATCGGGTAAATTAGATCACTGTATCAGAGCCGCAGTTACGGAGGACAGGTAAGGATCCTGCCCGAAGTCCCACTCCATTGGATGGTGGCCCATACCTAGAGATCAATATGGCTGAGTCGACATATCATTCTGTATTTAATATACACCGTAAAGCAATGCGGAGCCGTATTCCGTACATCGGGTAAATTAGATCACTGTATCAGAGCAGCTGTTATGGAGGACAGGTAAGGATCCTGCCTGAAGCCCCACTCCATTGGATGGTGGCCCATACCTAGAGATCAATATGGCTGAGTCGACATATCATTCTGTATTTAATATACACCCGTAAAGCAATGCGGAGCCGTATTCTGTACATCGGGTAAATTAGATCACTGTATCAGAGCCGCTGTTATGGAGGACAGCTAAGGATCCTGCCTGAAGCCCCACTCCATTGGATGGTGGCCCATAATGATCAAACAATGTTCTTTATTTCATCTCTCAGCTGTTTAGTAGAGAGATCCCTAATGTGAGATTATCAATGTGAAATTACAGAACTGTCTCCTGGGCGTCCGAATTACCCAATGGAAAGAGATATTTTTAGATTGAATTTTGCTCTAAATTGGTCATTTCTGAATTTTTGATTAATCAAAATGTTAAAATTAACAAAAACACATTTTCCACCAGTGTTTATCCAGGTTTTCACACACATTTTTGCTTTATTGTGTAGGTAATATGTGAAAAAAATAGTCAGAAAAACATTATTTAAACAATAATCTCTGAGGTTTCTGAATTTGCAGCTGGAAACTTTGCCAAGAGTCATGTTCAATGGGAGAGATCAGCATGAGACGCAAATAGCTTTTTAGAGGTGGGGGATGGGAGGGCGGTATGAATGCAGGGGAGGGA